AAGCAAATTAAAATTGCATAAACATAAATATAAATATAAAGCACTAATATGAAATAGAAACATGATAAACGAAAAAGGGAAGTGGAAAAAACAATTGCAGGTAACAGCTTAAGTATTCTCGTGATAAAAAAATCATAAAATACATGGAATAATTAGTTTTCTGTTAGAAAAATCCACTATTAAAATGCCCTGGAAAGAGTAGGTATCTACAATAAATATACAAGTGATTCTCATATATATATAGTTAGGATAATTTTAGTCTATCATTATAGAGAAGATGTGACAGCCCCACCTCCCCCTTAGGCGAACCAAAGGGTTCGGCGGACCGCCTGTCCAGCTCTCGCCAGGACTACGGAGTCGATCACGTAAACCCGATAGAGCGCACAAATGAATCCCCAAGAGAATAATCAATCGAAGACTACTAAGTTGAGAAGCATGAGTTCTACACCGTAAGGTGCCATCTCCAACGAATACACTTAATGTACATGATAAAACACTTATATACATACATTGAAAACTTTACAATTAAAAGCGGAATACTTGATTAAAAGACACTTAGGGTTTTGATTACACAAGAGCTACAAAAGAACATTTTACACCAGCTCAACCCTTTTCTCAAAATCACGGCTCAAAGTGTGGTTCCCTATAAGGAAAACAAAGATAACGGGAAGGGGGTGAGCTTACGCTCAATGAGGTACCAAAATAATAGCAAGTAAGAATCATGGAACTTCATATTCAATTAGTCACATATGCAAATCAAATAAAGAAATGAACAAACACCATAGATAGAAAGGATACGGGTGGCTCTCAGGAGCCAAATTCCCACTTGCTTCACCGAAGCTTGATCGAAATAATAGTTGACACTCCGTCAACTTCCAAATAAAGTAACCAGTCCCGTCAGTAGAACACCACTTTACACCAAAATCCGTCCACCAAGCTTACCCCTACCGGGCCCGAACTCCAAACAGAAACAGAAGTGGTAATACTCGAGTATACCGGAATCAAGGGTCTCAATACCCAAAGATCCCAAAACAGACTACCGTGGTTCGTTATCTAATTGACCTCGGCCCGACTCGAGTAACTAGCCACAGATGTTGAGCTCAGAGGTCACAGAAAGGTCGTTGGATACCAGCTTCCAAACAACATCAGAACGGATACAGATACAGATAACAGATACAGATACAGACAACAGATTCCGATTTGCACCAAAAATTAGCATATGAACAGACAAGAGAACGAGTGTGATAAAGTACACCCTCGTTTCAAACAAAATAAACAGATAGTTCAGACGTTCATATCACAGATTGCATGTACAGAAACCGAGTTAAACAACAAGTGAGGGGAGTGATACACTCACCGGTTCAAGTACGGATACTTCAAAAATTTTCACTTCAAACTGGCTTTAATCGCCAAGAAACCCTAAAAGAATCAAAGTAAAACAATTGAAGGTTCCACTTCCAGAATCGAGTAAACAGAATGCACATGTGAGGCTCGACTACTAGTCGTATGCCTCGCCAAATAATTACTAATGCAAGGGTGCCAACATGATTTTGGAAACAAAAGTAACGAGAGGACCTAGGGTTTGAACGACCCAAAAACCCCTTCATTTTTTTTCAAAAGGCAACTCAAACCTAAAGAGACTAAATGGCCTAGAAAATTGGACAGCATTTCCCCTGAATTTGCTTACTTTCCAGCCATCATGGCTTCATTATTTTTCTCAATCAATCCCAAAGTCATACACAAAATAATTTCATTCAATAGCCGTTCAGTAAGCTCCAAGTAGTACAAGTACAATTCAAGTTAGGGAAAAGTCCGGAAATGAAAGTTAAGCTCTAAAACCCCAAAACAGTTTTGACGTTGTTTAGCGTATTGGACACAACCGGTACTACGATTGTCGGATGGATGTATAAGATACACCGTTTCGAAGCTAACAGAAAGGGTTACAATATTAAAGAAGGCCACTCAGTCTAGTTTGTAGTGGAACTAAGTCAAAAGTGCAATATACCAAACCAGAACCGCATAAATAAGTTAGCGAACCTCATTCTGGTTAAACAACCATAATTCAGGCTACCAAAATCCAATTCAAGTGATTCCAAAGCCATCCGAAAGCAAAGAGTCCAAGCTATATTTATTAAGAAGGCATCAAAAACCAAATCAGTAGTATTCCTGGTCAAAACAACCAATTACAGAAGCTGATTAGCATGCTCGGGTAGAAACAGGGCAGCAGGGGTATTTCGATCTTTTCACAGGCTACATTGCTCCGATTGGCCTGAAATTTTGTAGGAAACTATAAAATATAATTCCCTACAAATTTTATGTTTTAATCCAAAGCTAATTCGGCCTCTAACTATAGGAAACAGTACCAGGCAGAATAGGTTCCATTGAAACCCTAACTCCAAAATTTCCTTTCAATGCGGAAATTTTCCGCAATTAGCCACAATTTATGCACTAAGGCTTCATTCTAAACCATTCCCAACCATCATCCATGGACACACAATATTAATCATATGAAAACAGAAAAATCATAAATAAAGATAAAACTTCACCAATTTCTACCAAAAATCATGAAACAACACCCTAAATCATCACTTCATCTCATGTAAGTCACTAATTAAGCATTATTGAGAAGAAATAGAAGTCCCTTAGCTACTCACCTTAACAACCCAAGAAAGGGAGCAACTTAGCACCTTAATCTTCCAACCCACTTCACTAATCACCTCACAACTACTAAGAGAAGGATTTTTATGGAGAACTTTCAAGTTTAATCGGTTGAAACACAAGATTTAGGCAAGATTAGAAACAAAAGATTGAGAGTTTTCTTCCCTTGTTTTCTTGAGAGAGAGAGTCGGCCAAAGCTTGGAAATTTTGAGTGATTTTTGGGTCAATTTTTGATTTATTTGGTAAAGTAATGAATAGTGGTCAAAAGTAAGAACAATTCTCCAAGTGACACTTGTCACTATAATTAATACATGGTTATCCTTTTGTCTCTTCACTCTCATCCATATAACAACCTCTAATTATCTCTTAGCACCTAGTAAATTAATCCCGGTATACACAACTTAAGCTAATTGGCCGAATTTTACCGAACTTTTAACACTAACGGGTCCCACGTCCGATATACGCTCTTAATTTCTCAAATACTAACCGATACTAGAAAAATCATTTAAAAACTATATTTACTCATAAAAATTATTTCTAAAATTTTCCGGATAAAGAAAATGTGGAAAAATGTGCAATTAAAAGAAAATAAAACCTAGCAATTAAGAAACTTACGGGTCCTCACAGAAGAAGGACATATTGTTAGTTTCCACAGAATAATGTCCAGGTTGGTAGAGGGAAAGAGAGAAGATAGGACAGAATTCTATCAACCTGTTAGGTCAGTTGCCAAAATTGTTGATGAAGATTGTGGAACACTAAAGAAGATGCACGTCAATCACATTCAACCTACGTTCCGTGTGCATGTATTATAATCACTAACAATTATTGTCTTATCTTACATTTATGAATCTTTTTTATATAACTTTACTTTTCCATAATATTAATACATAAACCCCAACATAGTAGAGCACTGCTTAGACAGATCCTATGTTATTTTCTTATTTGGTATATCCCTACATTACTTTTTCCAATTGGTATATTATCGTGATCATTGTTAGAATTGGGATCATGTTAATATGTATGAATATTACTTCTCAACACCAACTCCGGTATCCTTCATTCGGGGTTCTTTGACTTTGATTTAGTGACAGAATTTATGTGAGCCAAATAAGCCTCCAAAAATCATGGATGAAGATTCTGAGCACATGAAAGAAAATGCCCGTTCAATTATTTATGAATCATTGATGAAGAATTTTGCTTCACCTTCCAATTTAGTATTTAAGCTGTAAGCACATGGTCATTAATAAATTGGCTTATGATCGCCAGTAGAAATAACTAAATCTTACTATTTTATTTGAGTGGAAACTCATAAAGAATTGTTCGAGAGTCTCTACTTTATTTTTTTACATAAGTTTGGGTTTGTCTATTAAGTATCCATTGTTAAAATTTACTATTTTAAAATAAATGCCACTTAGTGGTATCCACAAACTTCCAACATGATAACTGCTAGTATTAAATTTTGGATCATATCTTTAACAAGATATTTATGCATTGTTATTCCCATCATCCAAGAAAAAGAAAAAAGCTTTAATTAAATTAGAGGTGACAATTTGTCCCAAGTTCCAATAAAGGGACTTTGGGCGGAATGGACATTGTAATTTGATATTGGGTTTAAAATGGGACATATCCCAATTGTACCCATTAATTGATGGAAAATATTGGAAAATACTTGGGCACCCATTGAGCCCAAATATCTTCCCAAAAAATTTTATGCAAACTTCAATAGTCAGCACCCAATGAGCTCTGCCCAATCATTTGAAGATCAATCTATCCCCGCTATCATCCAATTATTATACTTGTTTGTGCTATTTTTTTCTTATCATATATCCCATCGTCAAACCATCTATATTTTCTTTTCCAATTGAAATGATCATTACACTCTGGCGGCTTTGCAGTTGACCAAAGTCTCTAAATTCTCCAAAGCAACTGCGACCGGAGACTACATAGTCTGGATGGCTGGTTATATCAAAGCCTCTCCTATCAATGAGCCTAAGCAGAGAAAAGCAATCGGCTCTTGCACATGGTCAAAAATTAGCACACGGCTTAGCATCAATTTAGTAATAATCAATAAGGAGACATATGCAACAATAATGCTGTCTTCCAATCTTTCAATACCATTGTCTAGAGCACTTGATCACTAATTGCAAGTAAATGCTCAAAGCACCGAAAGTGAAGAATGCCGCTAACCTATTAGACCTCTTAGATACAAAATTCATGACCTTTATGTACTAGAATTCAGATAAAACCTGCTGAGTTCAAAACAATAAATTAAAAAATGAACTTACAAAATCTTGACAAATTTTGCCAATGCAACTAGTTGACATGATTAGAAATGTCTATAATTCTGCTATTGTTTATCTGGGATGTAACTCAGTGATTGAAACATCATTGATAGACGGGTTTGGTGGTGACTTGGTGCTTGTAGATGTATCAGATACTGGTAAATCGTTAGGTGAGCTTTGTGTTCTACTACTACCAAAATATGCAGGCGGATTAGGTGCAGGCAACGTTATAGAGATACTGTTGAGCATGAGAACTACTGAAGCCATGGTTGGCCTTTGTTCAATTTCGTCTTGAATGCATAGCAAGCCAACATGGATGCTTTGAATAACTTCATTTCTTGAATATGCATCTCCGATTGTTGGATCTACCAATGCTAATGGTGTTCCATCCCTCCATTGTCTCCAAGCCTGCAACATATATTCCAAGTGATGATAGTGGAATAAATTGTCTCATTCAAATGTAGACAAGAGCTCTCCAATGAGAATTCCAAGAAAATGAGTTGTTTATTTTGCACTTACATAGCTTAGAAGGTCATCTCCTCCATGAGCTTGGTTGAACTGACTGTTTTTCTTGCCACTTAGAATTTCTAATATTAGAACACCAAAACTGAACACGTCTGATTTTACAGAGAACAAACCGTGCAATGCGTATTCAGGATCCATGTAACCACTACAAATTAGAGCCATTTGTAATACACTTCAGGATTCAGCAATTTGAAAATTTAAAACTGATGATGACAAAATGTAGAGAACGTAATTAAATATTAGAGTTTTAAAGATAGTGGGATGATTGTATTATTACAATCATATAACCATGTAGATAACAGGATGAGGGTGCAGAACTTACTATGTCCCTGCGATTTTACTTGTATTTCCTTCAGATTGATCAACTCCAAAGAGCCTTGCCATGCCAAAATCAGTGATCTTTGGATTCATATTTCTGTCTAGTAATACGTTACTGGCTTTAAGATCACGATGTATAATCCTAAGTCGAGAATCTTCATGAAGATAAAGAACTCCTCTTGCTATTCCTCCTATGATCTTGTATCGTCTTGACCAGTCCAACAATGGTTGCTTTTCTGGGTCTATACAATCATCAAACATGGCAAGTCTTGTTAGTTTCTTTAACTACAAAAGTTAATTTCCAAAAAGACTCGACAATCAATTCCAAAATAAATCAAGGGTATTTGACTGGAACCTAACCAAAGAGAAAGTAGTCAAGACTTTTGTTGGTCACAAATTCATAGATGAGTATTCTTTCTTCTCCTTCCAAGCAGAAACCAAGTAGTCGGACGAGGTTTCTGTGTTGAAGCCTAGCAACCAGGGCAATTTCGTTTTTAAATTCTTCTGTACCTTGAGCTGAGCTTCTTGATAGCCTTTTCACAGCTATTTCTTGTCCATTATGAAGTTTACCCTGATTGCAAATTAACAAAGTATAAGCAAAATTTTGATTTACAATGATCAATATTCATAAATTTTCAGCATACTTGAAAATGGCTTAAATGACTTGCTGTTGAAATGTGATCGTGAAGTGGAATCGAAATTGTGAAACTCGTTTTGACCCCGTGAACTCGAGAATGTTTTTAGTAAATTACCTAGATATAGTTTGTGCCTGGCATCAAGCGATAAAACTCAGTAACGTACTTTTAAGTTAGAAACTTTTGCGTAAGGATTTTCTAAACCTTGCCAACTCGACAATTTCCTTCTTAAACTCAATTATCTTTAGTACTTTTCTTAGAAAATGATTTCATTTGTTTTAAAATTCCAGGCACTAGTTTATTTTTCTTTTTCTTCCTTAAATGCTGCCCTGACTAGTTATTTGGGGGAAACTCGTTGAAAACGCGAAATTTCTATAGCTTAAATCAAAAGGCGTAGAAGACTTGTACGGTAAGCAAACTTATCCAAGTAAAGCAGCTCTAGTTACCTCTATGGAAAAGAATAGTAATATAAGGAAACTATACGGAATATTTTATTACTTTTACCAGTCTTAATCCTTAAGTGGATTGTCGACTTATCTTAAGAAAATAATACTAGACATTTCTTTTATAAGGAAAAAGTATCTCAAGGAACACTATAAGAAACATTTTCTCTACTTTTACCAAATCTCAACCTAAGTAGACTTTTGAATTTACTTTAAAGAGGTTAACTAGTAATATATCAAATAACCCTCTATATGAATAAGCTAAAAAATTGAACAGAGAACTTATAGCTCAAAGTTTGGTTTTTAGGATATTGCGAGGACGTGGAATTCAATTCCCAACTTGACATCTGAACGTCACTCTTGGTGAGTGTCCTTGCTTGTTTTATGACTAGTTGATTAAAGTGCTTTCTTGACCTGATATATGGTAATTGCAAAATGGGTTTTGATCCGTCGAAGTGAGCAGTGTGTACTTTATCACACTAGCCTTTTGAGTGGTGACTTGTGTGAAATATTTTAGTGAATCCATGTGTTGTGACGTCGCGGGGTGAAACCCTCGACAAATTTCCTGAGGGTATACGTAAGTATACTGCTCCTAATTTCCTGAGGGTATACGCAAGTATACTGCTCCCAATTTTTCTGAGGGTATGTCTCGAGCATACTGCTCCCTTAGGTGATGTGCGGGCCCGGGACAGGGGTATGGATGGTGACGGGTTAGGAACAAAATGAGATAATCTACATGGATTCTAAGTAGTGAGAATTGACGGGGAGGTCAATTACGATGATTTCTGACCAAGCGAGGAATTTGGCTCCTGAGAGCCCCTGTATCCTACCTTGTGTTGTTATCCGCTTTCCTATTTGGTTACTTTAGTGCATATTAATTCTTGTAAATTGTTTGTTTAGATGCATGTTTTGGGACACCACTGAGCTTTTGCTCACCCCACGTTTATTTGTTTTCCTTACAGGTTCTGGAAATTGAAAGTTTTGAAACTTACTCATGTTTCTCTTTTGGGGTGTACTTGAATGCTATGACTACTTTTGTGGGCTGTGATGCGTTAACTTGGATAATGTACTTTTTACTTTTGGATTGCTACTTGAAGCTGGAAATGTGTAAACCCTAATACGAGCGTTTGGCTTGTAAGTTTGTATCAGTGATGTATGTGGTTGTCCGTTCGGATTCGTGCGACTTTATTCTTGGTTGTAACGCGTTAGGTGATTGGGAGCCGTCAGTTGGCTAATTTAAATTACTGTTATCTCTGAAGCTAATGTGATTTTAGTCATCAGCCTGTTTGGGAGTATTGTTTTGTAATAGATTAGGTTATTCTTCGAAAGGATTTGGGTTAGAATGCTTGCGTGAGTCCTGGCGAGAGCTGGGTAGACGGCCCGCCAACCCTTTGGTTCGCCTTCGGGGGAAGTGGGGTCGCCACACTAATTGAGTTGACATCTTTCGTTAGGCAACTGGCTGTGGGAAATGCATCACAAGCCAAGGTATGCGGGGTTTGCACTGGTATGGATCACTCTACAGACATGTGCCCAATGATTCAAGAAGAAAGTGCAGAACAAATAAACATGGCCGGAGAAGGGCCTATGACCCGTACTCGAGCACATATAACCCGGGTTAGAGAGATCACCCTAATTTTAGCTATGGGGGAAATAGGCAGCCCAATTTTGCACCGAATAGGCAGCAGGGGCATCACTAGCAGCCTCACCAGCAGTATCAGTCTCGCCCACCACCACCCTCCTCAAACTCAAGTCCGTCTTTGGAAGAAATGATGAAACAATTGATTGCTAATTAACAAAAAACGGACTCTGACATGCACAGCATGAGGAATCAAATGGGACAAATGGCGATAGCAATTAACCGCCTAGAATCCCAAGTCCAAGGTAAATTACCGTCCCAACCTGAAGTGAACCCGAAGAACGTAAGTGCGATGATTTTAAGGAGCGGGAAAGAAATTCAGGGACCAGAACTCATAATTCCAAAAGACAAGGATGAGGAAAAGATTGAGAACGAGCTCGAGAAGGAGGACAGCAATGGCACAAATCCACAGGTACTTCCAGACACAGTCATTACAGTTAAAACAAACCCGCCTCCCTTTCCTAGCAGGTTGGAAAGACCGAAAAAGCAGGATAAGAAGAAGGAGATCCTGAAGGTGTTCCGTAAAGTAGAGATTAATATTCCCCTGTTAGATGCAATTAAACAGGTGCCAAAGTACGCAAAGTTTCTGAGAGACCTGTGCGTTAATCGAAGGCGGCTGAGGAGAGATGAAAGAGTCATTGTTGGGGAAAATGTGTCCGCAGTCCTGTAGAAAAAGCTCCCACCAAAGTGTGGGGACCCAAGTATATTCACTATCCCCTGTAGGATAGACAACACCTTGATTAGAAAAGTCATGCTGGACTTAGGGGCGTCAATTAATGTGATGCCAAAATCTATCTATATTTCTCTAAACCTAGGTCCATTAAAAAAAACTGAAATAATCATTCAGTTAGCTGACCGAACTAATGTGTATCCTGACGGGTTAGTTGAAGATGTGTTGATAAAAATTAATGATTTGGTATTCTCAGCTGCCTTTTATGTACATGACATAGATGATGATCATTCCCCTGATCCCTCACCTCTGCTATTAGGTAGACCCTTTTGAGCACAGCACAGACTAAAATTGATGTTTACAAGGGTACCTTGTCTATGGAGTTTGATGGGGAAATTGTTCATTTTAATATCTTTGATACTATGAAATACCCCTCAAACTCCAATTTTAGCTCTGTTTTCTCTGTGAGTACTATTGACCCTGCGGTGCAAGAAGTGTTTGAAACTGTTGGCAGGGATGAGTTGGAGGTGGCTCTGACCAAGCACCTCGAGTTGGAGACAATGCCTAAGGTGGAGTGGAGTGAAGATCTAAAATGCACAATAGGTGCATTACAATCATTGCCGATCACCACAAAAAGGTATGAACTCTCACCTATTTTTATTCCCGAATCCCACCAGAGAATATTGCCATCTGTGGTGCATGCACCTGTATTGGAGTTGAAACCCCTACCAGAGCACTTGAAGTATGCGTATCTGGGCGACAACGAGACACTCCCGGTGATTATCTCATCGGCACTATCAAAAATCCAGGAGGAAAAACTAATTCGGGTTCTCAGAGAGTATAAAGAGGCGATAGGGTGGACCATTGCCGACATTAAGGGAATCAGTCCCTCCATCTGTATGTATCGAATAAGGCTGGAGGAGGATGCCAAACCTGTGCGCTGAGGCTCAACCCCCTCATGATGGATGTAGTGAAAAAAGAAATATTGAAACTACTCGATGTGAGGATCATATTTGCTATATCTGATAGTCTATGGGTAAGCCCGGTCCAGGTAGTTCCAAAAAAGGCAGGAGTGACGGCAGAGACCAACCAAACTGGTGAGCTAGTGCTAGTGCGCAAACCCACTGATTGGAGACAGTGTATAGACTACCGCAGGCTGAACGCCGTTACCAAAAATGATCATTTTTCTCTCTCTTTCATTGATCAAATGGTTGAACGCTTGGCTTGTAGGGCTTATTACTGTTTTCTGGATGAATTTTCAGGATATTTTCAGATAGCAATTGCGCCCAAGGATCAAGAAAAGATGACCTTCACTTGCCCGTTCGGGACATTTGCTTATAGACGAATGCCCTTCGGGTTGTGCAATGCACCTGCAACTTTCCAAAGATGTATGGTAAGCATCTTTTCTGAATATGTTGAGAAAATAATTGAGATTTTCATGGACAATTTTAATGTATATGGTGATAGCTTTGATACGTGTTTGGATAACCTGAAATTGGTCTTATTAAGGTGTATAGAGACTAATCTTGTGCTTAATTGGAAAAATATCATTTTATGGTTGAGCACGGGATAGTCCTGAGTCATATTATATCTTCTAAGGGCATCGAGATTGACAGGGCAAAAATAGATATTATATCTGCTTTACCTTACCCCGCGAGTGTGCAGGAGGTGCGCTCTTTTCTTGGACATGCAGGTTTTTATCGAAGGTTCATCAAAGATTTTTTGAAAATAGGAGCCCCGTTATTCCAGCTTTTACAAAAAGATATGGCCTTCGACTTTGATGACGAGTGTGAGAGAGCCTTCGACAAGTTGAAGGAGTTGTTGACCTCACCCCCAATCATCCAACCCCCTGACTGGAGTTTACCATTTGAGATCATGTGCGATGCCAGTGATCATGCTGTAGGGGCTGTGTTGGGGCAAAAAATGGGAAAGGCAGCTCACGTCATCTACTATGCGTCCCAAGCATTGAATGGAGCTTAATTGAATTATTCTACCATTGAGAATAAGCTTTTTGCAGCTATGTTTGCTATAGAAAAATTTAGGTCATATTTATTAGGTGCTAAAGTTATTGTGTTTTCTGATCATGCAGCGTTGCGGTACCTAATGACCAAGAAGGATGCGAAACCGAGGCTCATAAGGTGGATATTGCTCCTACAGGAATTTGACCTGGAGATAAGGGATAAAAGAGGCTCAAAGAATTTGGTAGCCGACCACTTGAGCCGCATACCAGTGGGGGAGGAGAAAGAGCCATTGAGGGATACTTTCCCTGAGGAGCACCTGTTTTCTTTGAATTCTCAATTGCCTTGGTATGCCGATTTAGTCAATTATTTAGTAACGGGTAATTTTCCTGCAGGTTGGCCAAAATCGAAGAGGGATAAATTGAAGAGTGACACCAAGCATTTCATCTGGGATGACCCGTACTTGTGGAAGAGATGTGCTGACCAGGTGATGAGACGATGTGTAAGTGAAGCTTCCAGTCAATTTTGAGTTTTTGTCATACTTTTGCCTGTGGAGGACATTTTGGACCAAAAAGAACTACTCATAAGGTATTGGAAAATGGATTTTATTGGCCTTCTATATTTAAAGATGCATATGTATTTTGTAAGTCGTGTGATCGCTGTCAAAGGGTAGGTAATATGGCCCGTAGAGATCATATGCCCCAAGTCCCATTAATTTTTGTTGAAATTTTTGATGTGTGGGGTATCGATTTCATGGGGCCTTTTCCTACCTCATTTGGTTTTGTGTATATTTTGTTGGCAGTCGATTACGTGTCTAAATGGGTGGAGGTTAGGGCCACCCGGATTAATGATTCGAAAGTGGTTGCAGATTTTATCAAATCTAATATTTTTGTGCGTTTCGGGATGCCAAGGGCCATTGTTAGTGACAGGGGGACGCATTTCTGCAACAAAACCATAGCCGCGCTGTTTCGAAAGTATAGAGTACTTTACAGGGTCTCGACGTCGTACCACCCGCAGACTAATGGTCAAGCGGAGGTATCGAATCGGGAAATTAAGTCCATTTTGGAGAAAATGATGCGACCCATTAGGAAGGACTGGAGTCAAAGGTTGGAAGATGCACTCTGGGCCTATCGAATGGCGTACAAGACCCCTATAGGGATGTCACCGTACAGATTGGTATTTGGGAAGCCGTGTCACCTTCCAGTGGAGTTCGAGCATAAGGCTTTTTGGGCAGTTAAACAGTATAACATGAATCTAGAAGATGCCGATGCTCAACGGAAGTTGGATTTGCAAGAATTGGAGGAGATCTGGAACGAGGCCTACGAAAATGCACTAATTTACAAGGAGAGGAGTCGGACGTTTCATGACTAATAAATCTCTAGAAAAACCTTTGAAGTTGGTCAGAAGGTTCTCCTATACCAGTCCAGGCTCAAATTATTTCCAGGTAAACTACGTTCCCGTTGGATTGGCCCTTTCATTGTGACTCACGTTTTTCCCTATGGTGCAATAGAAATTCAGAGTACTAAGACAGATAACCATTTTTTGGTGAATGGACATCGCCTCAAAAACTATTATGAGGGCCTTGTAGATGGAGAGGTGGAGGTGATACGTTTGGATGAGCCACAGTGTTCAAAATAGTACTCCTTGGCCATGTCTAGCCAAAGACATTAAAGAAAGGCGCTCATTGAGAGGCAATCCAATTTCTTTTGGTTGTTTGTTCGATCTTGTTTTGATAGTTTAAATATGTTTTTCCCTGAGTTTGACTGATTTCTGGCTTCAATTTTCGTTTTTGATGATGTGTAGGTATCTTTCTGGCGTCATGTCGTATGGAACGCTCGCGGTCAGAAGGGTTCTTGCCCTCCTGACGTGCCCGCGTCCCTTCCGCGGGAAAGGTAAGCATTCAAAAAAAAGCAGTTATTGATTTTGTGTTAGCCTCTAATTTTGAGAATCGAAGATGGGTTTTGCAATTATAATATTTAAAAAAAAGAGAAAAAAATTATTATTATTATTATTGTTATTATTATTATTATTTTTTACACGAAGAAAAAACAAAAAAAGAGAGAGAGAGAGAGAGAGAGAAAACAAACAAAACAAACAAAAAAAAACAAAAATGAAAAAAAAATTATTTCCTTTTAACCGTAGCTAGGTTTCTATATTTTCAAAAAAATAAAAAAAAAGAGAAGATTTTTTCCTTTTTTCTTTCTTTTTCTTTCTTTCTTCTTCTTCTTCTTTCTTCTTTCTTTCTTCTCTGCTGGTTCATCCTCTTGGTCGACCAAATCACTTTTTGTCGCCGCCAACTCTTCCACCTCGATCGCACTCCGCCATCGATCTCACCATCGTGAACCCAAGCCATCCATAACCGAAGCTCGCACGCCGCCGCTCCTCCCAGCGCACGTCGCCCGCTGGTCGAAGCCACTGCCGCAGCGCGCAGCTCACCCCGGCTCACACTCCAGCCCCTCTCCACCAGGTTTCTCCTATTTCCTCGCGCCCCCACCTGCGCACGCCGCCGCTCCTCCACCTCGCCAGGCGAAGCAGCCGCGCGCCGCCGC